GCCCACTCTGTGGGATGGGTGACCTCTTTTTTTTACTGCACTTGAGGTCAGCGGTGGAAGAAAAGATAGAAGAAGAAAGAAAGAAGGAAGGAGACACTCCGCCTTTCAGGGGGTTGCACCTTCTGCAGGCGAAGCAGTGGGTCTATTTATATCCCCCCGACCAACTGGGGGTAACTCAAACTCTATAATTATCATATTGCCTTGCCATGCTGATATATCACTGCCTCTTATCTTCATGTCCTACAATACAGTACAGAGCCAGAATTTTTTTACATCTCTGCACTCAAATAGATATTTGAAAAACATTCCCAAAAGTCAGTTCTTTCATACTCTTTGGATAACTTAAGAAATCACCCATTGAGGTCATAAAAAGAAGCACCTATTCCCATTTGGCTAGCAGCACTTAGTTTTAGTTTTAGTAAAAGTTTCACGGCACTTGCAACACAATAAGGTCATATAAGTTCCGAAGATTAGACATGTTACAAGAGAGTAACAAACACAAAAAAGAAGGAGGAGAGATCAGGACGATAGATTTTTAAGAGGAAAGAAGGAGCAAACCACACCAGAGCACCTGCCAACCACCCACTAGCAGCACTTAGAGCTTCAGCCACTTTTTGAAAACAAACAAAATACTCACATTTTCACCTGCAGGTCAATGGATTTCTCTCTCTTTTCGAAGATTTCCATTATCTTGGCACGAGCCTGCTGCACAAGACGGCCCTTTTCCAAGTTGAACTCTTCCTCAGCCTTTCAAGACATAAATATATGTGATCATAAAATAGCACTTGCATACACTAGTTTAAGTAGATACCAGAGCTTCAAGTGGGATGACAAATTTTTCAACAAACAAGCGCTGTACTAACAAAAAATGACTAACACATTATATTGCCTCAAAAGAAATGTATATAGTTTTTTCTCATAACAATTTATGACACAATTATGAGTGCAATTCTTCTTAAAGCCTTTCAGGGTTGACATAACTTTTAAAACCTAAGATTATTAGTCAGGTACTGTGGAATAAGTAAACATTTGTTCTTGGCAACAAACAGCACAGTCTACAAATTGAGTAAAGAACGTTAGTACCTCTCTTCATCATTAACTGAATTAACAAGACCATCCTATGACTTGGAGTACTGCAGTAACCTATTATAACATGACCATCAACAAGCATGCTTCATAAGATACAAAAGAACAAAGGTGTGTTGCCTATTTGCAAACTATGCAACTAAGTTACATGACTACCATCTACATGATCTACAAAGCAGTCAGGACAGATTTTGTGTATGGTGTGGTGGTAAGATAAAAAATGGCATAATCAGAGTGCTTAAAAATTTGCAAAGAAAATGGGACACATATAAAGCAGGTGTCAAATGATTATGTTATGAAGAAGCACCAGAACAATAAGAAAGTGTTTTAAAAGCTGCACAGAAATTGGGTACAGTAAAGGTGTTGTTATAAAAAACCTGATTAAGCTTTGAAAAAGAAGCATTACAGGCACAAGCTTTAAAAAAAAACAGCTACCATGTGTTAGATGCAGGCAAACAGAGCCCAGCTTCTACTGCAGTGGTGTGTGTGTGTGTGTGTGTTTGTGTCTAGTTTAGTTTTTTAGTTTTAGTAGAAGTTTTACGGCACTCGCAACTGCATAAGGTCATATGAGCGCCAGATGGTTAGAGCTGTTACAAGAGAGTAACAAACAAAAAAGAAGAAGGGGAGATAAGGATGATAGATTTTTTACAGGAAAGAAGAAGCAAACCACACCAAAGCACCCACCAACCACCCACTGTGTGTGTGTGTGTGTGTGCGTGTGTGTGTGTGGTGTTTGTGTGAGTGAGAGTGTGTGCATGTGTGTGAGAGAGTGTGTGTGTGTGTGTGTGTGTGTGTGT